TTCACCATCTGCTATAATGGGATGCACACTGATGTCCACAGAACATTTACCTGCAGTTCTGAATCACTAATCCAGTGACAATACCAATATACTACTGCCTTGGAATTACAAATGATCTACATTTTACTAAAATATTTATTATTAAATACTGGAATTCAAACATAAATGTTGACATCAGTTTTTCAGTTCTTTGAATAGAGAGCAGACAATCTTTTCCTTGTCTCACAATGCATGCACCTCCTGTCAGACAATTCAGTTTAATTGTTTGCAGACCAGACCATCCTGGTCTCCTACTCACATGCCAAAAACCTGCCTCTCATAGGGATTATAAAATACATTGGGAATTTAAGGAAAGTAGCCTTAAAAGTAAGGCTAAGTAAGATTTTAAAAGTAAGCAAGTAGCCTACTTATTCATTTCAGAATTTACCTTTCACTGTGTAATCCAAAATCCATTGTGTTCATATTGATCTTTATGATCTATGCTTCTTTCTTAGGAAGACAGTCCAGTTCATTGTGGCTACAGAATCCTCATAAAATATCTTAGCGTGGAGCAAATCAAATACTTTAGATTCGCGATACTTAAAAGCATTTTTCTTTAAGAAGTTAATCCTCATCAAATGAACACTGTAAGTGAATGTGTAATCTGACTATTAGTGATTCATTAGGAGAGGAATCTTAAAGCAGCACATGTGACCATCTCCTAGGTTACTGTGTTGCTGTTCTCACTGCCTATGCTTATCAAGAGATGTATAAATAATGAAAATTCTGCAACAAGATAGGCACTGTGGCAAATACCAAATAAAATAACTTTGACACAATAGTAGCTATTTTGCTTAAAGGATATTAGTAACTACCAAATTCTGCAACTTCCCTTTCAATCCTTGTTTTGTAAAAGTTCCATTACCAAAATAAAAATTTTAGAAAAACCGTCTAATTGACCATCACCTCTCCAGCCTGGATACATTAAAGTTATGTAACTAATCTAAATGCAGTTCTAACACAGTTGATCAATCATGGTGTAAATTAATCTGATGAATCACAAGCAAACTGTAATTTGTACATTTGAAGAATAGAGCTGTTTAATAAAGTTGAACTTCAACTTTTATACCTTTCAGGAAGGAAATTATTTTGTTTAGTTAGTGTGATATGCAATAATTATTAGAAAATTTAATTATTTTTGACACAGCTTGTCCTACACAAAGTTTGATTAAAACATAAAGTAGCAATTCTATCTGTCTACCCAATACAGTGATGGGGGACATATTGTAGTGGCAGGGAGTTGTAAGTTTGGCAGGCATCCAGCAGACACAGTAAGCTGGAAGTTTTCGTGTTCTGGCTAAGTGTAAATTTCGGTGAGTATCCTGGTGACTTTCCTCCCACAATTCTCCTTCCTGCTCACGTTATTAACTATGATTCCAAGGCACCACTCTTACACAGAGGCAGAGCTCCCAGGTTCTTCCAGCATTCAACACATTTGCACTATGGTGGCTCAGTCATTAGCATTGCTGCCTTTCAGCACCAGGGACCTGGGTTTGATTCCATCCTTGGGTGACTGTCTGTGTGGAGTTTGCACATTCTCCCCATGTCTGCATGGGTTTCCTCCAGGTGCTCTGGTTTCCTCCCACAGTCCAAAGATGTGCAGGTTAGGTGGATTGGCCATGCTAAATTGACTGTAGTGTCCAGGGGTGTGTAAGTTAGATGGATTCGAAATGGGAAATGCCAGGGTATAGGGAAAAGGTAGAAGAATGGGTCTGGGTGGGATGCTTTTCAGAGGGGCGGTGTGGACTTGTTGGGCCGAATGGCCAGTTTCCACACTGTAGGAATTCTATGATTTAAACCCCAGCTATGCACCATTTTAAACACTATAATCCAGGAACTGCCCTTCATGTGTTGGTGTACAAATGCAAAGGCCATGCTGAATGAGGCAATTTGGCATCACGATTCTGTGACAGGGACCTGAAGTTCTGGTGGCCTGGTTGGTGGAGAGAAAGGCTGTATTCCTTATTTAGGACGGCTGAAAGAGACCAAGGCACCAAACTATGCTAGCTTCATTAAAGAAGGCCAATTGGGTCACTGCGGTATCCAATATCTGGAGGAATGCCAGCAATGCTGCAAGAGTTTATCTGAACTTGGAATTAATATTTTATCAAAAGAAATTGAAACTAGTTCACCCAAACAAAAATCTCTGTTTTGGTTTACATCTGTAAGGAGATGAAAGAAATGACCTGTTGTTACCAAGCCTGAAAAACAATGAACCCAAGCTTTCAAATATACAAACCAGCTTGTCTTTCAGCATGTGTCCTTGGCAGAGTAGAAGAGATGGATTTGTGACTGCAGAACTAGAGAAAGTTCTCTCTTGATGTTCTGAGAAGGAAAAGTGCCCAGTGATACAACTGATTAAAAAGAAATGTCAGAACAGTGAGAATTCAGATATTTGCTGTTGATGAAGATAAAAGATGCTGAATAAACAACCATGGTTTCAGGTTAAAATCTTATACCCACGGACCCCCTAAAGACTGCAAAGTTTTCTTTTGTAAATCTTCCTTTTGTACTGAGCCCTATCTCTTCTTAACGTTGCATTTGTGTCTATCTATGTTTGATTTTGAATTTCTTTGTTATTTTTCTCAACGTTAGCATATTATAATATTGCACTTTCTTTCACTAATGAAAACACTGTAGTTGGCTCCTTATCAATATAGTAGACATTGGGTAACTACATTTTGAAAACATATCAACGCTTGAAGGAGAAGGAGAACCCATGGGTTCCAGAACAGTTGGAATGGCTGTGGAGGAGCTGGGCACGTTTTGCTTCCACACTGTTTGCAAGTTTGCAGCTTTCATATCGTCCATTTGCTTGTTCAGGACTGATCTACCTACCCGAACTTTATACATTAGTGGACCTGACGTCACATCGACCATGTCTCTTACCTATGCAGGGCCATTCCCATCGTTCCTATACCGAACTTTGTCCTGAAGTAATCTGTCTCTCTTGCTTAGCAGAGTCTTGGGTCTGGCATTGACGTTCCTGATGCCATTTCACCCTCCCCACCCTCCAGGTCCAGGAAGATCAGATTTAACCTGGTGCAGAGTCTTCTCCCCATTAGCAACTCTGCTGGAGCTATCCTTGTAGTTGCATGAGGGGTTGTCCTATAATCAAACAAGAACCAGCACAGTTTGGTGTCGAGTGAAGCTGTAGGCTATTTCTGTAAGCCTGCCTTCAATGTTTGGACTGCCCTTTCTGCCAGACCATTAGATGATGGAGGGTATGGAGCTGTCCTTGTATGTCAATTACCACTCGATTTTAGGAAATACTCAAATGCCCACTTGTAAATGCTGGCCTGTTATTTGCGACCAACACCTCTGAGAGTCCGTGTATTCCAAAGATGCACGCAGTATTTCTGTCATCATCCCAGTGTTTGACGAATGAACTCTATGCACATCCAGCCATTTTGAGTGGGTGTCCACAACGATGAAGAATATTGAATGCACGAAAGGACCTGCATAGTTGAAGTGTAACCGAGTTTACCTGGCCATTTCCACAAATGTCAGGGATTTGCTAGCAGTAATTTTGTCTTTGTCCTTGTTGGCAGTCTGGCAGTGCCCCACCAATGCAGCTATGTCTGCATCCAATCCTGGTCACTGGACATAACTTCTTGCCAACATCTTCATTTTGGAAACCTCTGAATGACTCTTGTGGAGTTCAGCCACTATCTGGCAGGACCTTTGCTTGGGACAATCATTCTTGCTCCCCATAAATAATATGCCAGCCTCTACTGTGATCTGGTCTCTCTGGGTCTAAAAAGGTTTCAGTTCTGGTTGTGATGGCCCTTTGCTCCCCAGTCCACCCAACCCCACTACCAGCTGATTCTGTTTTGCCAGGACTGGATCCTTCTGTGTCCAAAGTCTGGTATTGTCAGCTGTGACTGGAAGTGTGCCCAGAAGATTTAAAACCAGAACAAACTTTTCCAGTGGTGGTACCATCGGTAGTGTATCTGCCAGCGGGAGGCTGCTCACTGCATCCGCATTTGCTACTTGGCCTCCCAGACAGTGTTCCAACTTGTAATTATATGCACTTAGCATTTCAGGAGGTTTGGGGTCATAATGCTCCTTAATTAAATCCAAAAACTCTTGAAAGGTTTTAGTATCTACTGCCTAAGGGAAAGTTAGGCTCCTAATAACTGGAAAAAATTGCAGATCCACAAACTGTCAGGAGAATTATTCGTTGCTTTTCATCTGCCCCAAAGTTATTTGCCCGGAAAAAGTAATACATTCTTTCCACAGCCTTCAATAGCAGGATCGAACAAGTCAAGTTTCCCAAATAACGGCATGATGCCAGAAATGCTTACCATAACTCAAAGACAACTGCTGCGAGTGAATTTCTACAGGACCATGCTTTTCTCTTGTCACCACTGAAATAACTCCACAGAGGCTGGTATACTGTCACCAAGTCATCCTTTATTTACATATGGAGCGTTCTTCATACTGATCCAGCTCCTTCAGAGCCTGCTCTCAGAGTGAACAGGATGTCTGACACTCCTGTTCTCATCTGTCAGCCAGGGCTCCCTAATTGGACCATATTAACAGCCCTAATCATATTCTATGAGGTCCACCAGGCTGACCTTGTTACAATCACTACAGAAACAATGTGGGAAACAATGCAGAAAAGATAGGAGATTGACAATCAGTCAAAATGCTCAGAGAGCCTTTGCATATGTCAGGGACTGAATGGTCTCCATCTGCATCAACTCAATGAGTTTTAAAAAGGGTGCACTTTTGTTTTATTTAATGGAACTGGGTGCACCCAGGGTATCCTTACAAGTTTATTTAAGCAAGTATCTGTGAGGAGAACAGACAGTGGAAATATGACTTTTTTTTCCAGCACACTTGTCAGATGGTTAGCCACTTGTTAAAATGTGTCTTTTCGTCTGTAGTGAGACCTCCGGAGGGAGGGTGGTGCTAGAACAAGATATTTCTTGTCGCAGACTGCTTAGACTGTCTATTTTATTGTAGGTCTTGGGCTGATGATTGGAGGAGGCTTGTGGTCAGTTTGAGAGAGTAAGGGCGTTGGGAGCTGATCAGTTTTCAGACAGAGAGAAAAACAGCAATGGCAGCAGCTCATAGAGTCATCGTGTATGGAGGAAAGGGAGCTCTGGGCACTAAATGTGTTGAGTTTTTTAAATCTAAACACTGGGTAAGTTTCAGCAACGAGGAACTCGCAGGCACACCGGGAGATAATGTATTGGGAGGTGGGTAGTGAAAACAATGCAGTTCGTCGTTTCAGGTCACAACCTGTCACTTTGCCACATGTTACAATGAATTAAAAGATAATCGGCGGCACTTGCACTGCATTAAACACAGTGACGAGTGAAGCTGTGGCTGGGTTCACAAACAGGCCGTGACTTTCACATTGTGCCGGAGTTTCATTTCTGTCCGAACCTAAATCACCATCTCCTTCACTGTCTGATAACTTTTCTCGGTTGCAGTGGGTTGCCTCCATTGACCTCATGTCTAATGAAGAAGCGAATGCAAATATCATCGTGAAAACGAGCGAGTCCTTCACTGAGCAGGCGGAGCAGGTAATAATTACTGCAGTGAATGCTGCTGGCAGATCCAGGTAGACTACATTGGACCTTAGTTGTAGCTTTTAATGTCGGGCCTTCCACAGGGTTAGATGAATTAGACATTGGGGATTGACATTTTGCAAATGCCTTGCATTGCCACAGGTTACCACAGAGGTTGCCAGTCTTCTTGGGGAACAGAAGGTGGATGCCATTATTTGCGTAGCAGGAGGATGGGCTGGTGGCAGTGCAAAGGCAACGTGTAAGTCTATATTGCATTTTGTTAAAGCTTATGTTCATATTTTATAGTTCTATAAACTAAGAAAACTTAAGCAATTTCTATATTATTCTGAGATCTCATGTAGTTGAATGAACGTATGTTGGTGAGTTCTATTTTTCACAATTACGTCTTACAGATTCTTTAAACTGCACACTCCTTTATTCAGTACTATGGATTAATCCAAAAATCCCATTTCTAGTAGGGTACTTATGCAAGGAAACATGAACTGTTGTATTTATTGACCTTGAGTTGGCATTGTTTGCCCATGATATGCAATTGGAAATTTTGTCCACTTACAACTGACCAATTATAAGCTTTAGCACAGAAAATAATGGTAAATATATTTCATAAATACTTTTTGATGGTTAATTACAGACATATGTAAATAGAAGTAATCCAGACTTATTTGTTAAGTACCAATAAAGATGAAAAAAACCTTGTAATGATATAAAAATAATTTGATGATACTCCAAAGATGTGATCTCTTTTCTCTCTTTGTTTTGCTGCAGTTTTTCCTTAGTTTATATTGAACATTTGGAAGTAATCAGTATCTGATATTCATTTTTCAAAGCTCTTTTTAAAAATGCTGAGTTGATGTGGAAACAGAGTGTGTGGACATCAACAATCTCCAGTCATTTAGCTACAAAACATCTGAAAGCCGATGGCTTGTTGACACTGACAGGAGCAAGTCCTGCTTTGAAGGGTACAACAGGTGAGCAAAGCTTCTCCTATTACCCCTTGACACATAAGCTGAAGTTAGCACTTATATCTGTTCACTATATTCAATGTAATGAATCTCCTGAAGTATCTTGTGGTGCAGTGGGATTGTCTCTGTCTCTGAACCAAAAGATCTGTGATCAAGCTAGCTGAAGTAATTTTCAGGGGGCAGATGGGCCAGTGGTACTGGTTCACATTTTGCTTTCGAGTCTGGCATGTCACAGAGATGTGTCATAATGTGTCCAAACAGGTTAGTTTAAAAACAATATATCTGTGCAGTACTGGATGTAATTCCTGGAACTGTTAAACGAATGGGCTCTTATGGACATTGGTAGTGTCCCTATTCCTGGGCCAGAGAGCCCAGTTAAAGTCACAACTGTCCTGATGATGTCATAACATGTGCAAAGAGATTGCTTGTTTGTTTATTAATTTTAATACTTTTTGTGAATATTCAATTTTGTATTAGGATTCTGTTCCTGAATACAAAATTCTGGCTGAAATTAGGCTCATTTAATTCATTATGCAGATCCAGTTTCCATAATGGGACAAAACTGGATAATGTGGGATTGTGCTATGTACATTTTTATTTATATTCTAACTAATTGTGAAAAGACACTTAGATTATTTGAGACATTGAGCCCTTATGGTAAATGGAATAATTTGTAGACTGTAAATGGACAAGTGAACTGAAACATTAGCCCTCATTTTCTGGGATGGGATTTCCAAACACAGGAACGGAGGAGAGAGCACAGAGATTTCTGTTGGGATTTCATTGTAGGCTGGGTTCCCTAGTGACTGTGGAATTTTTTTTTCAAGTAATTCCTTACCTGGATGCTGAGATTCATGGCAGGCGATGCTACCTGTTAGGTGGGAAGCATGTCAGAAAAGGCCATAACTAGGGATACGTGGTTTCTAGGTTCCAGGGTAGAAATTGTGAAGCAGGGGTTGGGTAAAGTGTGATTTGTGAGAGTGGGCGTGTGGAGTCAAAATTAGGTCAGGGGTTTGGAGGTAACGGCAATCAGGGAATGTTAGGTCAGTTTAATATGCAGGTACAGCAAGGAATTAAGAAAGTTAATAAATGATAACATTCTATCGCAAGGAGAATTGAATACTAAAGTTGGGAAGTTGTGCTTCAGTTACACAGGGTAATGGTGAGAATGCATCTGGACTTTTGTGAACAGTATTGGTCTCCTTATCTAAGGAAGGATGGCAAAGGCAGTTTGGAGAAGATTACTAGACTAATGCCTAGAATTTGTGAGTTGTCTTATGAAGAAAGGGTGGACAGGCTAGACATGTATCCATTGGACTTAGAACAGTAGAGGTGACCTGACTGATGGACACAAATTGCTGAGGAGTTTTGACAGGGGTAAATGTGGAACAAATGTTTCCTGTTGCTGGACAATCAAGAACTATCACGATCGAGAAAATCATTGTTTAAACATCCAGAGTCACTCGTTAAAAACAGAGATTTAGCGATATCTTTTCTTGGAACGTTGTGCACTCAGGAACTCTCTTCCTGAAAATGTGATGAAAGTAGAATCTTTAAATATTTTAAGGCTGAGGTACATAGATCTTGTTAAGTGAGGAGTTGATGGGGCTTCAGGAGTATGTGGGCATGTGGACATGTGGATTTGATATTGCAAACAGATCAAGAACATACAAAAAACATAAGGGAAGGACAGCACAGGAACAGGCCCTTTGCCCCTCCAAGCCTGTGCAGATCATCATGCCCTAACTAAACTAAAAAACAAACCTTCTGCCCTAATTCGGCCTGTATCTCTGTATTCCCTCCCTAATCACGTAACCATCCAGATGCCTCTTAAATGTCACCAACATGCTTGCTTCCACCACCTCTTCTGGCAGTGTGTTCCAGGCTCCTACCACTCTCTGCGTGAAAAACTTCCCTCACACATCTCCCTTAAACCTTCCCCCTCTGACGTTGAACCCGTGCCCCTTTGTAATTGAAACTTCAACCCTAGGAAAAAGCCTCTGACTATCCACCCTATCTATGCCTTTCATAATCTTGTAGACCTCTATCAGGTCTCCCCTCAGTCGCCATCTTTCCAGTGAAAACAATCCTAGTCTTTTTGACCTTTTCTCAAAACCAATGCCCTCGAGACCAGACAACATCCTTCTGAACCTTCTGTGCATTCTCTCCAAAGCTTCCACGTCCTTCTGGTAGTGTGGTGACCAAAACTGCACACAGTACTCCAAATGCAGCCTAACAAGGGTTTTATATAGTAGCAACATGTTTTGCCAACTCTTATACTCCATGCCTTGGCTGATGAAGGCAAGCATGCCATATGCCTTCTTAATCACCTTGACTACCTGTGTTGCCACTTTTAGGGAACTGTGGACCTGCATGCCCAGATCTGTCTGTGCTGTATATTAATGTTCTTAAGAGTTCTGCCATTTACAGTATAATTCGCACCTAAATTTGATCCTTCAAAATGCATCAACTCACATTTGTCTGGATTAAACTCCATCTGCTGTTTCTGTGCCCAGTCACTAATCTATCTATATCCTGTTGTATCCTTTCACAATTGTCGGTGCTATCAGCAACTTCACCAATCTTCGTTCATCTGCAAACTTACTTATCAGACCACTCGCATTTTCCTCCAGATAGGTCCTCTGTTGTTTGTAGTATATATAAACTAAGACTGATCCCTGTGGAACACCAGTAGTTACCAGTCTGCATTCTGAAAACACCTTTCCAGCGCTACCCTCTGTCCTCTATGACCAAGCCAGTTTTGTATCCACCAAACCAGCCCACCCTGAATCCCATGTGAATTTACTTTTTGTATCAATCTGCCATGTGGGACTTTATCAAATGCCTTACTAAAGTCCATATACACTACATCCACAGTCCTTCTCTCATCAATTATCTTTGTCACCTCTTACAAAAAATTCAATCAGGTTGGTGAGACATGACCTTCTCCACACACAACCGTGCTGCCTGTCACTAATTATTCTATTTTCTTCCAAATGTGCATATATTTTGTCCCTCAGTATCTTTTCCAAGAGCTTCCCCATGACAGACGTTAGGCTCACTGGCCCATGTTTTCCTGGGTTATCCCTGCTTCCTTTCTTAAACAAGGGAACAACATTGGCTAATCTCCAGTGCTCTGGAACCTCACCTGTGATCAAAGAGGATGTGAAGATGTCTGCTAATGCCCCAGCTATTTCTTCCCTTGCCTCTTGCAGTAACCTGATATAGATCCCATCTGGCCCTAGGAACCTGTCTACCTTTGTACAATTTAGGATACCCAAAACTTCCTCCTTCAATATATTGACATTCTCTAGAGTATTCACATACTCATCCCTGACCTCAGCATCAGTCATGTCCTTCTCCTTGGTGAATACTGATACAAAGTACTCATTAAGGATCTCACCCACTTCCTGTGGCTCCAAACATAACTTCCCACCTTTGTCCTTGAGTGCGCCTACTCCTTCCCTTGTTACCCTCTTTCTTCTAATATATGCATTAAAAGCCTTGGGATTTTCCTTGACCCTATTTGGTAAAGACATTTTGTGGCCCCTTTTAGTCTTCCTAATTCCATGTTTAAGTTCCTTCCTAATTTCTCTATACTCCCCAATGGCTTCGTTAGTTTAAAGCTGCCTAGACCTAGCGTATGCTTCCTTTTTCCTTTTGATTAAGCTTATAATTTCCCTTGTCATCCATGGTTCCTGAATCCTGCCATTAGCCTATCCTTCAGTTTTGCAGGGACATGCATGTCCTGCACTTTAATCAACTGGTCTTTAAAAGCCTCGCACATGCCAGATGTAGATTTGCCCTCAAATAACTGCTCCCAATCCACATTCTCCAGTTCCTGTCTAATTTGGACGTAATTGGTGCTTGCCCAATTAAGGACCTTCATCTGAGGGCCACTCTTGTCCTTGTCCATGACTACTCAATTTTATGGAGTTATGGTCACTAAGCTCAAAATGCTCTTCTACTGAAACATTGATCACTTGTCCTGACTTATTCCCTATTACCAAGTCTAGTATGGCCTTCTCTCTGGTTGTATTGTCAACATACTGCCTCAAAAAGCCCTCCTGGACACATGCAACAAATTGGTCTCCACCCAAGCCTCTGGCTCTCAGGGAGTCCCAGTCAATAAGAGGAAAGTTGAAGTCACCCACCACAACTACCCTGATTTTTTTTTTCATACCTTTCCAATACCTGACTACAAAGATTAGCCATGATCTTATTAAATGGCAGAACAGGCTCAAGTGGCTGAATGGCCTACTCCTGTTGCTAATTTGTATACTTGTCTGTGATGGATAGAGATGCTTCTAATTGCATGTTATTGGAAATAGGTTAACTTGGGCAGACTGGCATTATCATTCCTGCTCGCCTTGGCCCTCAACAGTGCTGGAAATTGAGAAATCTGACTGGTTAATGTTAAAGCCAAATGAGAGAATCATCTGAGGCTTGCAGATTCACTAAGTTATTTAAATAGCAAGCCTCCTATTGTGAATGCTTGGTCTCTGGCCCCTACTAAAACAGGAAGTGGGAAACTTTGCAGCAGGTTGGGTTCAGGATTGAATTTTTAAAATATTTTGTATCTGACTTGATCCCTGTTCTGTGGTTCGAGTTATTTATATTAGCATTGTGGATCACTCTATTCTGGACACAATAATTGTATTCTCTGGCTGAGTTATCCCTCCAAGAAGATGGAATATACTGAAACAATCACAATGACATGTAATGTAACCTGGGTTGGATGCAAAATCTCTGAACGCGATTGATTGACCAGCAGCAAATTGTCAAATACAATGAGTTTTCTCTGACCTTACTGTGTCTCCCTGGTGATTTCACATGGTTAAACCAATTTAACAAGGCATGCTGAGAAATTATTGTTTTAAGGAAAAGAAATTGGGCCCAAAGAAATGTAAGTATTGTTTGCTGAGCTCTAAATAAAATGTATGTTAAAGTAAAACCCACAAATGTTTCAAATTTAATTGAATTTCCTGATCAAGTCACGAATTAGA